TGGGGTGAAATTTGAATGGAAGTGCCTATAAAAGAGGTAAGAACTCAAGGTTTTTGTTTTCAAAAAAGGGATTTTGAGAGAAAAGAGGGCGAGAAAAAATAAAGAGGGAGAATTCGGTTGAGAGAGAAAAATCAAAAGATTTTTGGGAAAAATATTGGCTGCATTTTTTGGGTTTTCTACAGGAGTGTTCTTTGTGTTCTTCGTCGTTGGGTTTTATTTCGTCCATAATTGGCTTCGTTTCTCAATCAATTTTAGTTTTTCTAGGTTCATTCACCTTCCTCCTATGATTCGTAATCCATATTACCAGTGTGAGGGTTATGATTTTTTGTTATTCGATTTTCCTTCTTCGTAATTCGGGTAGCCATTGAAGTGTCCTTGAATTTCGGGTTAGTGTTCATCCTTACTCGCTATTACCGGGATTAATTTTGGCATTGTTGACGCGATTCGGGCATCTCACATCGGTTAAGAACCCTTATGTCACCTAAAGATCACCTCAAAACGTTCTCTTTTTATCCTTATGAACCAATAACCAATATTTTTAGAAACTCCTGGTAAGTTTGTTTTCCTTTTCATTTTTTTAGTTCATTTTCCTTTATTGTTGCCATTTAAATTTCTTTTGCTTGTGTAAGCTTTTATATTTGAGTGTATGCGATAAGATGAAGCAATGGAAGATAAATTAGACAATCGTCATTAGTTCCAAAAAGAAATTTTGATTTCGAGAAAAGAGGAGGAAGAACGGGAGAGAGAGAAAACATGAACATGAGAGAAAGGGGGTCCGAGGGTTGTTTGATCTATTTCTCTCGGTTTTTTTGTGCTTGGGCTTGTTCTTTGGTTTGAGCCTAATAAAAAGGGGGGCTGGACCGATTTTAGTCCAACCCGGCCCGCTCCCCACGCAAACAACAAAAAGGGGCCGGGCTATTCTCGACCCAACCTGACCCATTACGCCAAAAAAAAAAAAACAAAAAAAAAAGGTTGGATCGCAATTAGTCCGACCTCTCAAAAAATAAAAAAAGAAATTTAAATAAAGAATAAAAGATAAAATTGTTTGAATGTTATTTAAATTCTAGATTTTATGCATGCTTAGTGCTTATATTTAATTCGGATATTTAACTCGTCTTCAATCATTATTATTATTATTATTATTGTTGTTGTTGTCTTCAATATTGTTTAATTAACGTGATTAACATTGTAAATTGATTGCATGTCCGTCGACTTATATGTATTTTAGAATTGTTTATAATTATTGTGACCAAGGTAATTTTTAATTTTTGTTTATTTCATGCATGTTTTAGACCTCTCCTTACAAAAAAATACAAAAATAATAAAATTCTTAACGAAGTCTCCTTTTGATAGGGACTCGTCATTTCGTGATGAGATCTCCTATTTGATAGGGACGGTCATCACCAAAATCATCATTTAATAATCGGGATGTCCTCCGATACGCTGGTTGCATCGAGGCTTGAATTGGATTCGATGTTTGAACCGATGTGTCGCCCGATGAAGGGGACCGACGATTATTTCAATACGATGCCACGCTCAAAACTAAAAAAAAAATTTTAAAAAAATTAAAAAATAAGTTGATATAAATAAACAATGTAGGAGACAAATTGAGGACTAAAACAAGATATTGTACATAAAACAAGATGTGGTACCTTTCTTTGAAAAAAGCACTTTTGGGATGAATAATTGTCTTCTTAAAAGTATAACCAACTCCTTATCATAAAATCTCTAAACCGGTGTTATATTTAGGTTTCTAGTTCATCAACACTAGGTGGCGACTCCAAAGCTTTGTAAATATAAACTTATAAATATTAAGACTTTAGAATTTAATTTCAAGGAGTCCTGTCCGATGTTGGGTAGCGACAAGTCTATAATGCTTTGGATTCCTATATTTGAGCCATATGCTATAGTTTTTTTTTATGGGAAATTTAACATTCGTAAGAAGTGTCGATCCGTTAGAAAGTGCACTCCCTTTAAAAATATAGAAAATTATGAATAAAAATTGAATTAATGAACACCAAAATCGTTATGTTTCGAAATTGAATTGAAAAATCGAATAACAATTCGATTCGATATTAATTTTTTTTATAATTTAGTTAATCGAAAAGAGTCAAAAAAATTTTGATACCAAACCGAATAACTGAACGAACACCCCTAATGCTAATAGATCAGTATTTATTAATTTAGGCATAAATATCGCAAGTTGTGGACTTTCCTAATTTTAGGATTTATAATCCCGGCTTAACTTATAAGAATAATGAAAGTCTTGTCTCTATTAGCTTAATTTGACCCTTATTCTCAGTCTCATTAATTACTTCATCCAAGTTGCGTATTTGTTTCTTTATCAACTGTCCATGAGATCGGATAGTGTTACTCCATTAAATTAGAAACCATCTAGCTCATGTAACAAAATAATACAAATAAACAAAAAAAAAAAAACCAGCTAGCCCATGTTTCCAACACTCTCAAACTCAACACAAGAAGCAAACCGATGTTTCTTGAGGAGTGAAAAGATATAAATATATGTGGTCATAAGTATAGCCACATATTAAAGAATTTATAATCTAATGATAGTAATTTTTTGTAATAAAAAATTATAAATTTAAATTTTAATAGATTAGTTCTGTTAAGAGTTTTGACCGTATACATTGAAAAAAAATAATAATAATAAATATAGCCGTATGCCTTGTTTTTGGGTTTCCCTGTTTTGGGCAGCTTGTGGATTTGGAGTTTCAAACTAACTTATCACATCAAGTTGGTTATTTTAACTGTTTCCCACATGATATATACTCCGAATTCAACTCTATCTATTCTCCTCCTCATCATGGATATGACTCAGTAATTGTATATAATATTTCAAGTAATTCCTCACATGGGGCTTTCTTTTTTCAACTGTCTTATTAAACATGGCATGCAGGGGACCTGTATCTATAATTTCATTTACACACACATATAGAAATGAGCAATCTAATTGATCAACAAACATTCTGTCAAGATGTATATTGTGGTTTCTCAGCAACTTATGCTATGAATATACATATATATATTGCACCAAACGACACGAAACCCCATGTGGAAAACTGGTTACTTGAGTGGCTACTTCCCATTCAAGGGAAATTTGTTGTCACTGTACGTGAGTACTTAGTTGGAATCAGTTTCAAGTATGAATTTGTCCAAAGTTTAATCAATCACTTGTATATACAAGACAAGAAATTGGCAAATTTTTAGAAGCAGCTAGCTAGCTAGGGTTTACAATTGCTACGTACGTACGTACCATTTGCTTATATAGTCGTTTTCAAATATATCAAGTATGGCACCTAGAGCAATTTGACCTTCACCATGAAAACAATCAAATTTTATGAAAGATCAAACACATACATCACATGCTACCTCTGGCAAAAATTGCTTAAAACATTCCTATTTACATGTGTTTTTATGTGTGTGTGTGTGTGCGCGTGGAGAAGACATTGACTCAAGACATACATATTTTGGGTTCACACCCAAAGCCGATTCTTAGTTTGTCTGTCTTTTGGTCAAGCTCAGCTAAGAATTTTGGTTGTTGGCGAATGCATGTGAGCACAACAACCTTAATTATTCTTAAGTAAATTGAATAATATTATTATCCCTTGTGTAGTACATGCTCAAGATCTCATCTTCAAATTGGGACGAGCAATGATTTAAATCAATTGCAATAATGAAAGAAAAGAGGCTACGAATTATTGTAAAAATCCAATTAATTAAGATTCTGAGAAATGATGGGTTTAAGGTACTGTACTTGTTGTCAAATAAATATTTACTACATAATTCTGATAAGCCAAGGTCAAAAGTGATTAATTAATTAATTCCCATCTTCATATGTAATTTGTGGATCAGGATTCAGGGAGTTGAAAAGTTAATGCGATTGCAAATGTGAACAAGGAAGTAAAATTGCACTGTTTGTTCCATTGCATAGTTAGGCAGGTTTTACTGCAGAATAGTGGTGTCCAATCAAAAACAGTAAATTAATTACCACAATTCTTTTTCGTTATATATATATATCGTATTAATTAATTATTGAACAAAATATTTACTAGTAAATTCTTTTTCTTCACTGGGGAAAATATTATTGGTACTATATTATTTCAATGTATATCATTCACCTATTTTATGCTTAAAAATCTTAACTCACAAGTCATATTTTGTCCAAAAAAAAAAAAAATTCACTAGCCTAAATAGATGAAGCTAATGGTAAAAAGGAGTATTTCTGAATAAGAGTTTGATTCTCATTCTTGAAAAGTTTTTCTATTTTTTGTATAATATTGATATAGATTATTAGTTGATTTAAAGAATTTGATTTTTATAATCAATTGGAAGCTAGACATAACCTAAATTGGATGTTAATCTTATAAAGAATAATAAATTTGATCTCGATTAATATAAATACTATCTTGAAAATATTCTATTACTTGTAAGCACCAACCAATATCATGTTTTATATGTGAAAAAGAGGAAATTTACCATGTATGTACTTAGTGAATGACTCAATACTAAGGACAAGAAGCACAATGCCTTGTGATTCTATCAAGGAGCAGAAAAAAATTAATATCATGCATATTGATCATCCTTTCATTCCTTGAATATATAAACCGATCGAAGTTAATATAAATTTTGTAAATGGACTAATTAATTAATAATAGCATATTGTAGAAAATATATACAATGTGTACGAGAAATGATAAAATATATGATCGAAGAGCTAGAGACTGAGAATAGGATTTCAAGACTTTGAACTTGTTGTAGAAGCAAAGAGATACAGTAGCGCACAGTACGGCGGAAATAAAGTGGGGGAAGTTGGTGGGCAAGGCGGTGATGCGTGCATGCATATTTCTTATCCAAATTTCCTATAAATACCACCTCTATGACTGCATGCTTCAACATCTCACGTAAGTTACTCTACAACTAAGTCTCGCTTTCTCTTCATTTTGCATCGATTCATATATTATCCAAAACCAGAAAGAAGTATGGCAGTCCCTCTTCTGATTACCCTTCTCTTCATTTCCTTTGCCTCCTCACCTTTAGCAAAGGCAGCACAATATAGCGTGCTAAGTTATGGAGCAAAACCTGATGGAAAAACTGACTCCACCAAGGCCTTCGCTGCTGCTTGGTCACAAGCATGTGCCTCTACACAGCCAGCCACAATTTCTGTTCCTAAAGGGAGTTTCTCTTTAGGTCAATTGAGGTTTCAGGGTCCTTGCAGGAATAATGCTATTTTGCTACGTATAGATGGCACCCTAGTCGCTCCATCAAAATATGGGGTCATTGGTAATGCTAACAATTGGCTAATGTTTGAGCAAGTTAATGGGGTTACTATATCTGGAGGGACTCTTGATGGACAAGGTGCCGGACTGTGGTCATGCAAGAATTCTGGCAAGGATTGCCCTAACGGCGCAACGGTATGCTAATCACATGCATCGATACATAACTATCTTACAATTTGGTCTCTAGACTGAATATTAATTATGCAATCTGTTTTCAAATTCTTAATTCTCTTGTTAATTTATTTATATTGTGCAGTCACTTGAATTTTCCAATTCAAAAAACATAGCAATCACCGGATTGGCATCATTAAATAGCCAATTGTTCCACATTGTCATCCTTGGCTGCCAAAATGTCAAAGTGCAAGGAGTGAGAGTCTCTGCCGCCGGCAATAGCCCTAACACAGATGGTATTCACGTTCAATCATCGACCGGAGTCACCATCTTGAATTCTAGGATTGGAACCGGTGACGATTGTGTATCAATTGGCCCTGGTACCTCCAATTTGTGGATTGAAAATATGGCATGTGGGCCTGGCCATGGAATCAGGTAGTTAATGAAATAATAGCCTCATGATCATGAACTCTACATTCCTATTCAATGCGTTGCTAATTATGAGAACTAAAATAATGCATGAATTGTTGTTGTAGCATTGGAAGTTTGGGCAAGGAATCTCAAGAGGCTGGGGTGCAAAATGTGACTGTCAAAACCACTACCTTTACTGGTACTCAAAATGGAGTGAGGATCAAGTCTTGGGCAAGGCCTAGCAGTGGTTTTGCTAGAAATATTCTTTTCCAACATGCAGTCATGAACAATGTCCAAAATCCCATTGTAATCGACCAGAACTATTGCCCTGGCGAGAAGAATTGCCCTGGCCAGGTACCCAAATCAACTTTCTGTACTATTTTTATTCAAATTTCTAGTGGCAAAATCTAAAATATGCTTAAAACTTTCTCTCTATTTTCTTGTACGTCAAACAGGTTTCTGGTGTGAAAATTAGCGACGTGACCTACCAAGACATTCATGGATCATCGGCAACAGAAGTTGCAGTGAAATTTGATTGTAGCAAAAAGTATCCATGCACAGGTATCAAATTGGAAGATGTAAAGCTGAGTTACAAGAATCAGCAAGCTGAAGCTTCGTGCAGCAATGTTGGTGGAGTTGCTTCAGGCCTTGTTCAGCCCAATAGCTGTTTAAAAACATAAGTAGTAGCTAAAAAAGAATGTAATAGCTCTTTGAGTGAGTTTATTCCTTAAGCAATTGGCCCGCCACTGCAATTATAGTAGTAGAAAGAAGTGAATTTTCCAAACTCTACCCAGTTTGGTTAATTTTCTATACATTTTTACAGAAACATATATTTTCCTCTTTGTAATCAATATTGTTGAATATCACCCAATTCGAATAATAAATGAAATTAATTTTCTATACATTTTTACAGAAACATATGTTTTCCTCTTTACATAAGAATTATGTTGCTTACTAAATAATCTTCAGTTTGTAAAAGCTAGCTTGCATCAGAATTATGCTGTTGCTCGAGAAGTAGTGTTTTTTCTTTTTTACTTTTTATGTTATTAAAAAAAAAAAAAAACTCATCCTAAATTCACAAAATATATCATAGTAAAATTGTGTCAATTTATGAAATCATATAATCACAAATATATAATGGTATTGAATTCTATTCATTTGACTTAAATTGATCAAAGAAAAAAAAAGCCAATATATATATATAATAATTGAATGAAGAATGAGAAATAAAAGGTACTACAAATTATTAATAAAACTGTAATACCAATAGATGAGTGGCCCTAGAAGATTGAAACCAAGCTTTCCACATCAATGTGCGGCAGCATCTTCAATTTTTTGGCGAAGGGATCAAACAAATACAAGCTTACATTAAGCTGATTGCCTCTCCTTATTATAATTTCTTTGTCGTTCAAAGCTCCCAAAGCCCTCTCGATTTCGAGAATTGGTGTCTTCTGAAATATAAATAGTCGTGTCCAGGTTTCATCATTATTCTTCATCGTCCAAATCTCATAACTTGATTTTTTTAGTTCTGCATTTGATCACTGCAAGTGAATCCTTGTACACCATAAGTTTTATTGGAGTAATCTCTTGGTCAAAATTATTGAAAGGCAGCTAGCCGGCACCTTCAATCTTAGAGAAAGTGTCGTTGCCCATGTCACCAACAATCTGCTCTTAGTGTGAAAACCTCAGCATGGAATTCATCCGATATCTGAACAACTCGAAAAAATTTGTAGTCGTTTATTCCATGATGGAAACCAAACTCAGAAACTACAATCCCAGAAACAGTCTGCCTTCTAAATTTTTCACAGAAACGAGCAATAAGAGGAGAGCCAGACAGATGTTGATACTGTTTAGTTGCCGGGTTCCATAAGATGTAGTCGTCGTCAGTACAATAAAGATTTCTGGCGTACAATTAAGCATATATAGTAAACCATTGCTTGAACCGACAAGATCAGTTCCATAAGATGTAGTCGTCGTCAGTACAATATTCTTGATTTGCGGCCTCTAAGGCATTTACCACCTTTAACGCGTGTGAACAAGACAGATTTTTTGGGCCGATGTTGATAGGGGAGAGCAATAAAGTGGGAGCTTGTTATGAGATCCTCCTAGTTTGTGCATACACTCTTGAATCGAAGCAAGGATTTTGGGGGCAGTCTTGACAGAATTTCTGTAATCATGTCAGACGGAAGACATGAGCTAATTATACTGCTCGCCATGATTTAATTTTTATCCTTTTTTTTTCTTTTTAGATCCAAGAAGAAGAAGCAACAAATTAATTTTGCAGGGATATATATATAGATTGGGACTCTTCCGGATTAATTTGAAGTAGAATCCGGATTTAATTAGGAACCTTGTTTTCCTGAATTGATTTCTTTGCAAAGAAGGATTCATCTTATTCTTTTCTTTTCACTCCAAGGGATTATGTCTAATTCAATCACTTTATCTTACATGTATGTAAGGATTTATCTTCTTATTAGGTTTATCTAATAGCTTTAAATTTTAAGTTGAGATACATTTATTTTTATTAACAAGGTTTTTTTTTTTTTTTGAATGATAAAACTATTTTACTGGCCAGTCAAACTATTTAGATTAAATTTTTTTATCATGGGCGTAATACTATGTCTGATTAGATTAACTTTTTTTTTATTATTTGTTGTAACCCAAAATTTCCTTGTTCATTTTATTTTATTTTTTATAGCTATTTATTTCATCTTGGAGTTTATTAATAAAAAAAGGGTAGAAAATACGAAAATATTCAATCAGGGGCACAATTGTATTTAAAAAAAGTACAATTGAAGTAACTAGGGGTATAATCGAACCAATTGAAAACATCAGAACCTAAATTACACCCTATAAGGACCTAATTGATAAGATTGTGTTTTACAAAGACTAAAATTGTACAAGGGGAGGGCATGAATGCGGATAATTGAAATTCATAGGGACCATCAAAAACATCTGTCCAAATCGTCCACCAATTGCCTTTTGATTTTGCATTTATCACGATTCTTGGCTGGAATTAATATCAACAGAGAATCATGCAATCACTGATTACTTTCCTTGTTGTTTAGCTAATCAAATCTCAAGTTTGAGATTTGACAATAAATTCGGGATTGATTGTTTGATTCTAGGAGAAATTTAAGTGAATTCGTGCCTGTAAAAAGAGGCTGAATTCAGAGACAAAGGGTGAAAAGAAAAGGAGGAGAGATTTGGAGTTGGCAGAGAAGGAAAATCGAGAGTAGAATTCGAGGAACTTTTGAAATCATTGGTGGCCATTTCTGGGTTTTTCTTTCTTGACAGTATTTAGAGTTCTTCGTTTCTGGGATTCTGTTCTTCGATTGTAGGACTCTATAATTCGTTCTTTTTGTTTCTTTTGGATTTCGTGTCGAATCTCATAGGTTATTGACTTGATTTTCTTTGTTTTGGTGATCCAATTAGCACTCTATGGGTTTTCCTCCACAAAATTTCTGGGCAGCCACTTATTGTTCTTCAATTTTTTTCTGGGTTGCTATTTGAATTTCTGGGCAGTGATGAACTTTGCTGAGTTTTTTTGTAGGTTGCAATTTCTTGGTTTTGATTTTGATTTCTTGGGTTCAGTTGAGTCATTTCAATTCGGGAAACACCAAGAAACCATAAACATTTGTCAGTCAACTCTTTGGGTTTTGGGAATTCTCCAGAAAACAAACAACCAGTGTTCTTGTCATTTCACCAAGACCGAATCCGTTTTAATCTTATAATTAGCCACAACAACAACAATCCCCTTATTTCCCAGTCCCAGTTTCCTTCTGCAAAATCAACAGTGACAACAACACAAGGTGGAGAGTCCTTATTCAAAATCAATCAAACCTGCAAAATTGACAGCAACGGCAGCAACAGAGTCCAAAAATTATCCCTCACTCCTTCGGTTTTGCTCAGGAAATTCAAATAGCATGACACTAGTTTTTTTTTCAGTTCCTCTCGTTTCGTTGAAGTCCCCACTCAGGTAAATCATCTCCCTCGGATTCCTTCGCTTTCAATTTTCATTAAAATAGCTGCTTTAATCTAGAAAAAGAGAAAGATGACAGTGGTTAGGCTTAGGTTTGGTTAGAGTTGTGCAGTTGTTGCTGGAGAAATTTCGTTCGAAAAAATTAAGAAAGTGGAAGGTAGCTGGATTTGATGTCCGGGGAGAACGGGAGAGAGGAAAAAAGCAAGATCAGAGAAAAAAAAAAAAAGAACTGGGGAATGGGGGCCACATTGTGGTTTGATCTAAAAAGGGGTAAGAAACTCTAGTCTGTGGGCTTGGTCCTGAGGGAAGCTTTAAGTCTGAACCAGAAGCTCGACTGATTTCAGCTCAGTTCAGCCCATTCCACGAACAGAAAATAAAAAAAACAAAAGGGTCTGGACTGAGTTTAGTCCAGCCCATGCCCCTTTACCCCGGCCCCTCCGCCTATGTGAATAAATGAAAAGCGAGAAGGCTGGAATCAGTCCAGCGTTCTCCCAAAAAAAGAAAAACGCCAGGAGGAGAGGCTGGAATCCCGAAAGAAAAAAATAATAAAAATTCTCAACGAAGTCTTTTATCTGATATTGATTGTTGTTTGATGAAAAAAAAAATTCTTAATGAAGTCTCTTATTTGATAGGGTTTATCGTTTGATCAAAAAAATAAAAAATAATAAAAATTCTTAACGAAATCTCTTATTTGATAGGGTCTATTGTTACAAAAATCTTATAATCAGAATGTTCTCCGACACATAAATTATATCGAGATTTAAAATGAATCCATTATTTGAATCGACGTGTCGCCGGATGAAGGGGACCGATGATTGTTTCAATACGATGTCACGTTCAAAACTAAAAAACTTAATTTGGCTAAAAAAATTAGAGTTTCAAATCAAAAATAATTTGGTACAAGTAAAATATTTTAGGAGATAAATTTAGAACTAAACTCAAACATGTTACCTTTTTTCGGAAATGATACTTTTAAGTGATTAAAAATCTTCCCAAATGCGTAATCAATTCCTTACCTAAAAATCTTTACACCAGTGCTATCTTTA